AAATCAACGAACTAAATCGCCTTATTTATTTGATTGTCTATATTACTGCTCACACACCATCAGCCAAATTTGAATCAGCCATTGGATGCCACAAATATATCAAACTAGTCTATAATCCTCTGGTCTCGTTCCCACTACAAAATATCAAGATATCCAACCATCATCACTTAATCTAATGGCTTATATTTCTCTACCCAGTTATCCCTTGACACGTATCTCTTATTCTAAATATTGCCGCACCAAATCTCAACTCTTAACGACTCAAAGAAATCGTAAATTATTTCTTAATCACTGAGATTAGTAAAGACCCCTTTTGGCGTCTATAAATAGGAAGAAATAAACACTCATAAAATCAGACAAAGAAAAACAGAGAGATAGAGACAGAGAGAACGATCACAATCCAAGGTCCAGATCTTCCGGCGAACGACCACCGTCTGCGGCGGCCCGGAAAACTTTAAAGCTCGAGTTATTCGCCGGCGATCGCGACGATGAGTTCGCAGCATCGCCAGCGTAAAGGCGCGATTAAGGTTTCGGAAAACGGAACTGAGTCAGCGAAGACGACGATGCAGACGAAGAGGCCGAGATTGGTGAAGTACGAGGAGTTGCCGGAGTATTTGAAGGACAACGAGTTTATTTTAGACCATTACCGGTGCGAATGGCCGTTGAAGGACTTGCTCCTCAGCCTCTTCTCTCTCCACAACGAGACCTTCAATATTTGGACGTAAGTTTTAGAGAGAGAGAGGGAGAGGGTGTTAATTTCAGTTTAATTTATTGTTAATCAATGTTAATTAGAGCTTAATTTTGGAATTAATTTTGATTTCTTTACAGGCATTTGTTAGGATTCCTGTTATTCGCCGGATTGACGGCGGTGAGCTTGACAGGGAAGACGGAGCTCGCAGGTCCTCTCAGTAAATTCTCAAGGTTCGCAAGGGCTTTATCATCAGTTCATAATTTGGATTTCGTTATTTTATGGAAATTTATAATTTATTTATTTATTTATTTTTCGGTACAGTGGATCGGTTCTTTTTCCGTTGATGATGATGAGAACGACGACGGAACTCAACGTCTCAAGTAACGTAATTCAGGTGCGTTTTGTCGTTTCTCTTATTTTGTTTTTCAAAAAGGGCATAAATCGGAGTCAGAAAACTCAGACTTGTTTGCCTGTGGGCCCGCCGAAAAATGTACCTTTTTATGCGCGAGTGATCAAGATGACGTTAGGACCAGACTTTTTGCAACTTGTTGGTTTGGACGGTGACGATTATATATGCGTCTAATCAATCACAGACACGCTAGAGCTGACAACCGTTGGATGTATTCTTTCGCATTAGCTTCGATTTCAGTGCTTCACGTGATCGGGTTTTTTTTCTCTTTCGCTTTCGGAATATTTTGACACTTGACCTCTTTATTTGCGCTCCGTTTGATTAGAGAGCATGAAGGAAGAGAGAGTTAAAA